GTGTGTGTGTGTGCGTGTGTGTGTGTGTGTGTGTGTGTGTGTGTGTGTGTGTGTGTGTGTGCTCAGAGAAGCCCTATTTGTGCAGCTGATTTTCCCGTGGAGTAGCTCAAGGTCAAGCACCAGAGGCCCAACAGTAGTGTCGGCATCCACATCTTTCCCTCTCTGTTCTCTCTCTCCTGTTTCTTTTCAATCCAAAATGCTGCCGCCTCCTCCCCGTGACCTCCTGCATTGGTTAAAGTGCTGAGGTAATCTAAAGATGGTCAAATCATGGGCCTAATATAGCAGTAAACCAGGTGGTGAATGCACATGTTTGCTTTTTAGCCACTCAGGGCGCCTCTCTCTCTTTCTCAGCCATACACAATCTAAAGTAAACATCCTTACTTTTCCAGCTGGCCAAGCTGTGTTGCTCATCCATGCTCAACGCCTCGAGCATTTGACCTCGACCTCAAACAAAAGACAGTTGTGATCACCAGCTAACCTCAGACCTACGACAGTAACTGATCTTTCATTCTGGTTTTGATCGGAGGAGTGGCTGCCTGCTGCTCGGAGCAGTGGCTGAACGCATTGTGCCTTTTGAGAATTTCAGCTCAGTTGAGTGCAGCTTTGCTTTTTGCAGCTGAATTGAAGATCACTAAGCACATGTTATTCTTTTCTTCTTTTTTTTTTCACAGGAGACTGAGAAGGAGAGCCGCAGTGAGCGTATCCGATCTCAGATCTGGGAGTTAAGCAGCCAGCAGACACAACAAAACAGAGAGCAACAGAGAATAGGTGAGAATGAATGCGAGTACTCTTCAGAAGAGAGGGAAATTTTCACCGTTTTATGGTTTGTTTTTCATAAGAAAAAAAGAGAAGCTGCACAACCTCACGCTTGCAGGATATTACTTCTGTCACACTTAGGGATCACTGCCATATAGAAGTTTGTATATACTGTAAACATGCCCTAAAGGTCAAGTTTAGTCAGGCAATATCAACACAAAACCAACACTGGTCACCTCTGTTACACGTATGTGTAAATGCATACGCCTCTCTTGATGCCTTTTCCTCTGGAGCGCCTGTTAAAATAGTTGGCCAAAGGAGCCATTCTCCTCATGAGGTGGTCGTCAGGAGGTCATGTTAGTTCAGCCTCTTTATGCTCCTTCATCTAACTTTATTAAGTGTTTGGGGTAACTCACAGCCACGACTAAATCTCTTTGGCTACACGTCCTTTACTTTTTCTTTTTTTAAGTGTAAAGTAATTTCATTAGCCACTCTGTCAGTCCAGCCATCGATAATGTCAGTTCATGCCTTTAAGAGGAAACAAGTGTGCTACATTTGCAGCAACACTTGCAGAGTTAACACGAGCAGCTTGTAAAACGTGTAAAAGTGATTGAAGTCTTGTTGCAAGCCTGTTTGTGTTTTGTCATTTTTACTTTTTTTTTTTTTTATCCCAATGACCACGTATAACATCCGCTTTGTATAACTTAAGACCAAATTTAACTTTGGCCATCCTTAGCTGATTTCAGCACACATTTGGCTAACTGGAGGTTGGCCCCAGGCTCATAGTCATAATGTCATTCTGTGTGGCCTGGTCAGCCATGGGCTTGGCTCTTGGTGTTCTTCACATGGATGAGGGGTTGGTGATGGGGTTCTGGGAAGCAACAGAGGGAAACCCAGCAACCACACCTCTGCTAAATAAAGCTGATACCAGAACAGAACTGAAGCCTCCTTTACGTGGCCGTGAAACTCCCCACTGTTCTGCATTTAGCTGTGCCTTACAATTTAAGCCAGGGTGAAGCTAGGGTCAATAAAAAAAAAAAAGACCACCATAGAAATGTAAAGAGGAAAGGGAGCTTTTTTAAAGTGGATCAACAAAGACATGGGACATTTGTGGTTGGTGTAATACAGTGTAGGCAGGGTGGGCATGTGGTTCCTGAAGGTGTGGTCGTCTTAAGCCCTGAGCATAAACGCATAATTCCGCGTTTCACATACAAAAGAAGAAGCTTATATTTACACGCTTACGTCAGTGACCATGTGTCACTATACCGGTAAGGTTATGATTTCAAAAGTTTCTCAATGCTTTAAGTTCCCAGGGGAGAGCGAGTTCCTTTGAACGTATCTTATGCAATTTTAAAGCTTTGAGCTGATCGTTTTGGAGGTGATGTGGGATAGGAGTAGTTCAGACTGAGAAAGTGATCCCCATACAGTAACTTATTAATCTAAAGGTTTTGCACAAAAATATGCTGCTTTATTGTCCTTTTGACTCTATTTGGGTCATAATTTGCAAAAAGAGCGTCATTTGCTATTCAATAGTACGTGAAGCTAACAGCTGAGACCACTAACTCCTCAGGATTTTGTGGTCTGTATACAGTACACACACAGTTTCACGGATTTTGTTTGCAAACAAGTGAATTCCTCGCTGCTGATCATTAGAAAGAATGGACATGCTCAAAGGCACAAGCGGCCAGGTGATTTGTCTAGCTATTAGTATAAATACAAGTCCCCTGTCATTCGCTATAGTCTTTGGTCTAAACCAACAAATCGCTGATTGACTATAGTGTCACAGCACCAGTGCAAATATTGCTATAACACATGAAATCTCTTTACACAATCACAAGCTGAGCAACCAAAATTGGCACACAGGTATATCTTAGGCCCCCTATATTAGATCTTATTATGTTGCCTGGCAACCACCTGCCAACGCAACAAAAAAGAAAAGAAGAAAAAAAGTAACAAATTATGAAAGCATCATCTCATTTTGCAACAATAACATCTAATTTATATCCACAAAGCTTTAATGATGCGTGATATGACCTCATCACGGTTCCTAGCAACCACCTAATAACACAGACCCCGCAGTACCGTAGCACAAGCGTGTACTAGCTCTAAAAACAAGTTGCTTAATCCCACCACAGGTCGGCTCATTGAAAGATTACGTACGTTTTTGTTGTTTTTTTTAACCTCTCTGTCAGTGTTGCTCTTCCATTTGGTTGCCACTGAAAAGTTTCAACAGCAACTACATGCACGGACAGACATTCATTGTTCCTGAGGATGAATCATTCAGACTCTAGTAATCCAGACTGTTTCTTTTCTTTTTCCTTTTTTTTTCACCACGGTGAGGTTAAACTTGTAGATTTGAGTAAAATATCAAATCATATTGTATTACTGTGTATTGTATGAGTTGTCAAATTGAATAAAAAATACTAATAATGAAAGTCCAGAGCTGCTGGCATGGCTCCAAATCTACAATGGGGTTAATATTGTTTACATCTAATATAACAACTTCTTTTAAAATACTTTGTGGCTAACAGGGCTAACCGTTGCCTTCATCAAAGGCTACAAAAGCCTGTGCCCAGCCTGTTACACCAGATTTAAGGTTTGATTAAACCATGGAACTGCTCATGAGCAGCTGAAACGAACTCGTGTTGACCCCTTCACAGCCAGCACAAATACTGGGCAGGCTTCCTCTGGGGTCATTGCTTCACTGTCAAAGCAGTATAAAGAAAGCTCTTGGTTGTCCTTTGTTTGTGCTCCGTATATATACTGGCAGAAGGCTGTAGCGTTTTGTTGCTATTTTGAAATATATATAAAAAAAATGCAAGCCTCTCATTATGCAGTAGCAGTGGGGATTTTCCCAGAAATGGCCACACAATAGATACGACAGCTTCCCAACGGCAACGACGTGAACAATAACGTGAGTTTGCTGGAGAGCAGCTGTGTGTGTGTGTGTGTGTGTGTGTGTGTGTGTGTGTGTGTGTGTGTGTGTGTGTGTGTGTGTGTGTGTTGGCTCTCACTTCGGTTATTACACTTATTAAAGACCAGTAATTGAGCTTTGGTTGAGTGCATTGCGAGCTATAGACACTACTGTGTAGCAGACCATTATTGTCCTAATTGTGTGTCCCGATCACGTTTTCTATTCAGGCTGTATTACATAAGCATTCGGTCTGTTTAAGCAACAGCTTGCTGCCATTTTTATCTTCTCTCATATCTGAAACAATTCACAGGATTATTTTGGGAAATTGCTTTAAAAGCGATAAACTATTATTAATAAACTTATTGTGCAGAATCTACAAAGCAGTAATGAGCCGATAAAGGTCAGCTATGCTTGGTGAAGCTGTGAATGCTCAGCCGTGATTACGACTGCTCGAAAGTTGAAAGAGCCTGTCGGCTGCCTCCGGTCAGACTGGAGTCCCTCTTTGATTTGGTTAGTAAATGACAGACATGCATACTTGGTGAACTCCATTTGGTTGCCAAGCTGGTGCAAACTAAGGTCAGTCAGAAGTGTTTTTAGGTCTTTCTTTGTACATGTGCTGTAGGAAGTGGATACACATCTTGGTTTTCTCTGTTTTTCTTATCTGCGGTGTGTGTGCATAACCTCAGATATTCATATAGCAGCATGGTGGGGTGTTGGAGGTAGATACTTGTCGCAGGGGGGAGGATGCGGGCAGGGCTGTGATGTTTGGAGTGTGGTTTCCTGTTCGTCTCTCTTTTTAACCCACTCTCTCCCTGACTCCTTTTTTTTAATCGTGTCCCAGATATAACTGTGCCACATGATCGCTTTCCACACTCGTGGAAAGCCTTCTTCCTACTTGACGCACATTCACCGGCCCAGTTGCAAATCTCACTCAGGAACTTGAGGCCAGTCTGGAGGAAATGTCTACATCCCTTCATGTCTCCACATGCCTGCCCTGTGATCCTGAGTGTATTTTCTAGACTGGCCTTTCTGGGGCCCCAGTGTTGTGGAAAGATTTCATTTAAGTCTCCAACATACCCATCTACTTCTTCCATTGCCCTCTAGTGTACTAGTAATACAAGAAGAATCTAGGTAACATGAAAATGTGTTTTTACAGAAGAGAAAACTTGAATGGTACAGAAAGTTACTTCATATATTTCATTTGTGTTTTTTATAACAGGTTCCAACTCAGGGATGGTGTTGGTTCTGGATCACCTGGTAAAGGATGATGGACCTCTGTTGATCCAGCCTCAGCGAGAAGCTGTGACCAAGGAGGCCGACCTGGTTATGTCTCACTGTCAGAGGTCAGACTCCTCCGATCTTAGCGCAGCCTCGATGCTTTCCAAGCCCAATCTGGATTCTGTGGCCTCAGAGAAAGGTCTGGGCTCAGCTTACAGAGCCCGGCTGGACTCTGGAGCCTCAGACAAGAGCCAGAGTTCCTCCCAGCGTGGTCGGCTGAACTCCGGGGCATCAGACAGAAGCATCAACTCCCAGTCCTGTGCCAGACAGAGAGTGGGCTCAGATGTCTCGGATTCATGCGTCAGACCCCGTCTGGGCTCCGAGACTTCAGACAGCATCGGCCTGTTGTCAAGGAAGCGGACGGTCTCTGGCACATCTGATCAGAGTGCGAGCATGTCCTCAGAGGAGCGGGCGCCATCGGAGGAGGCGGAGGTAGCCGGGAGTGAATCGACTTGCAGCACAGATTCAGAAACTGACAGCAGAAGCCGAGGTTCAGCCGGCACCCAAGCTGAGTCTAACCAGGAGGAGCCTGATGGGGCGGTTTTATCTCGGAGAGATCCCGTAAATGGCCTGCTCAGCGGGAAAACTGACATCCAGAGGCAAAAGGTGGAGTGTGTGTGTGTGTGTGTGTGTGTGTGTGTGTGTGTGTGTGTGCGCTTCAGGATTCAGTCATATTCATGAATTAACAACTTAAATTAAGTAATCCATGTTTTTGCACCTTTTTAAGCTACTCTGTCTTGTACTCAGGCTGTCCTGGAGTCTTACATGAATGCTTTGTGGTGCATTTGTCAGCTGTCTGTATCTTTGAGCCCGCTGAACCCCGAGCGACACACGCCGTATATCGTGACTGCGCCACTAGAGTGGGGTGCTGAGCTGCGTAGCCAAACTGAAGCGCACAAACCGTCCGAGCGCTCCTTTTTTCTTTCCTTCCACGTCATTATTCTTGACACGAAAACCGACACTTCATTGTTCAGTGACACCCAGGTCACATCGGCATCCATAAACACTCCACTTCGAACTCCCGCTGGATGTTGTTTGACTTTTGTTACTTGGTTACACAAACAAACTGTGCACCTGACTTGTCTCTGTTTCACCTCAGCGGCGCTTCGGCCTCACCTGGTGTCAGAGAGGAGTACACAGCGTTAAAGGCCAAACATTCCCTCTCTCTCTGTTTTTCTGCACTGACTCTGTTAAACTGTTAAAAGCAAGATCTTCACATGGAGCGGGAGGGGGGCTACGGTGACCATGACGCCATCGTGTCGCTTCGCTTAATGTGTTTACTCAAGACTGGCCCCAAACTTTTTTTTATTGTTCCCCGTGCTATACAAGCTGATCCTCAGGCTCCTCGCAGTAATGTAAACACTCTGGGATCCATCGTGGCCACAGTGCCAAAAAAAGAACAGATGCTCACATCTTCATGCCAAGTACAATGTTACATAATGAAAACACCACCAGTCGATTCTGTATTTAGGACTGTGTAGGTCAGGAGTCCCCGGAGCCGCCCATGTAGTCCTCATGAATGTGTATTTTTCGCTCTGCACGTTGACCTCTGCTCTCCTCTTCTTCCTGTACTAATTGTTCTGTCGTGTTTTTGTTTTTTCCCGTGTTTAGATAACTGTGGGCAGTGACCTGTCCCGCTCTTATGGCAAAACGAGGGATTCTGGTAAGAGCCCTGCTCTGATGTATAAGTAGAAAGCCTGTCAATATCAAGCTAGATCATCTTTTTAAGATACTTATCAAGGAAAACCTTTAAACATTCATCTTTACATTTTCTTGAATATATCTGGAGAAATTCTCATTGAAATTATTGCTAGATCAGTTCTGAGAATTATGTAGGGGCTGTTAGGTTGACCATAAAGGAATGGACGGCTGGGAAGGGAGCATTTTGTTAATGCACCATATCTTCAGCGCTCTCTCCTAGATCTCATGTCATGTCATGTCCTGCAAGCTGTGCTATAATTTTGTTTTCCTCTTAAGTGTCACATCTTGTTTCATCTTTGTAAGTATGACCCCAGTAAATATCATCTACTCTAATCCTTAGATATCCCAAACCATGAGCGTTGTACATATCACCTCTAAGTGAGAGAAACTTTCCCTGAAAAGTCCAAAAATATAGGAACAATGAGAGGGCGAAGCACAAGTTAAGTCAAGTAAAACATGGAGCTGGAACAAAGGCTAAAAATGAGGAAAGAAAAGAGGAATAGGATTTGTAGAAAGCTTTTGAGGTGAAGGAGGGGGATTACAAGAGCAATAAGTTGTAACGGTGCTAAATTCAGCCTGGGCAGTGGAGGAGATCCTGGTTACTTATCTCTCCTGTACTGAGCTGTCTCTTTCTTTGATTTAAACTCCCCTCTTTCATTCTGTCTTCACAGCACCCGAGAAGAAAGCTGTTATATCGGAGCAGTTAAGTCGCACCACCTCTGTTCGTGATCGAATGCGCAAGTTTGCAGAACTTGAACAGAGTTCAAATGTCTCATCTTTAAAGAAAACTCCTTTGAGGAATGGTTCCTTCTCCAGCAGCACTGGCCATGCAAATGTCTCCAGAGCTACCGAGCTGTTTACACACTCAGCAGCATCCCTCAGCACATCTGGAGACAGGCCAGCACGGTCACGTGTGGGCTCTGCATCTGCATCCGTGAGTCAGGCCGTGCCTCAGCCAAGAGGCGTGGCTAACAAGTCTCTGTCTTCAGCTGACCAATCGCAGAGCTCCATGGGTGGGATGGGACATCCAGCTCAAAAAGATGCGCACGCCTCCGATAAGTCAAAGGAAGACGGGACCCCAGGGATAGCAGCTGGAGAAAAGGTCACCCAGGGAGAGGCAGACCCAGACATGAAGACCTTCCTCACCATTGAGATCAAGGATGGACGCACCACCACTTCCTCCTCATCAACCACCAGTAGAGGCAACATTATACCCATCACCCACATGACCCCACGCATCACTCCCAATGCCCTGGTGGGGCAAAGGCAAGGTAGGAGCATCAACCTGGAGCTCACTACGTCCTTAAATGGTCACCAGGAGCAGCGATGGTTGACATAGTGTAGTGTAGAGATTTTACTCTGAGCTACCACACACTAGTGTTTTTGTTTGGACTCATTAAGGTTGCCAAGCTGCAGCCCACGTTATTTCTAATGGACTATATGTCTTTTCTTCCAAATGTCAGCATTAATATCAGCCGCTACAAGGAGTAATCAGATTGAAGGAATAATGTCACAAGTGGGATAATGTCAAGGGGGGTTTTGTGCATCTGAAGAAGCACATGGATGAGTGGGGATAGATGTTAGAGCTGAGTGTATAAACGGCACGGTCGCACTGAATGGTATTTGTTAGAGCGTGGGCATGTCGGGAGTACGGAGCTGTGGGGTCAACAGAAGAGAACAAACTTGGACAAGAGAAACAGCAACTGGTTGTCTCAGACGAAACTCAATGGGAATATTGTTACGGTGCAAATGAATTAGCCTGCCCGCCCACACAGTACAGGCCTTTGTGTGTCATATTCTGTAGTTATTGTCTGCAACACACTTACTTTTTACAGTCAGTGGTTTGAGTGTGAATTTTAAAATGAGAGAAAAATGCCATCAGAGAGGGAACACATTCACTTTGAATGTGGCTCAACATCTTGATAGTACACTCAGGACAGTATGTCGTGATGTAACAGAGACGAATTATCTGCATGATAGAAAAACATGTCTGGCATCAACTCAGCGCTTTACAGAAGCGCGAGCGCTACGGCTGCTGTTACAGTCTGTCCAAACAAAGATGTCTAAAGCTTCAGCTCTTCTCAGCGACCGGCATCTAAAACCCAAACAGTTTATTTTAAACTCAGTCTGAACACGTGCGATTCCAGCCCGCTCACCACTTACAGCTCCCTCGTACTCCGAGAGCCGCGCTGCGCTCTGTCACGAGCCTCGCACGGCTCTTTTTCATGTCATGTTCGCTTTAATGTTTTTAGGCTCCTTTTTTGGAATCCTGCCTGTCCTGCTCTGAGTAACAGCAGCCTGTTAATGTGTCTCCAGTTTCCTGCAAAAGCACTGCAAACTCTCTTAAATGTAGACCGAGCTTTGCTGGTTTGCATCAGTCCTGTATTTTATGATATAGCTTTCATGTATGCGTGTCTGGATGTGGGAGGAAGCGGGTCACATAGAAATGTGCACACCAGGCCAGTGAAGAAAGTGCTTATGTTAAAGGTGGTGCTATCTTCAGTCATTAGACTTGTGTGCTGTGTATGACACTGTAGTGGTGTGTGTTTGTTTTCACACCAGCTTAAGGTCTTACATTTCTCAAATCTTTGTTTCTCTGTTTCAGAGTTAACCCTCGGGCTAAGAGCCACACCATTTAAGATCTCTTCCTCCAGCTTCTCCTCTGGACCCTCCATCAAGGTACAAACTGCCTTACAAAATGGTTTTGACAAATGGTCACAAAATTGTGGCTACACATAAACCTGACAGATCTTATCAAGCTCGTGTAACAGGCTTGATAAGATCTGCTATTAATTTATAGTTTGAGCTTTTTTTCATCTTCTGTTTTATTTCCAGCGGACCCAGTTAAATTGCACGGTTTCTGCTACGTTTCTGTCACAACAATCACCTATAAAGTCTGAAAAGCTAGAGAGCCAGGGGAGTGAAGGACACCATGTGTAAGAAAAGGAGGGAGAGGAGGGAAGAACAGTGTTTATCAAACACAGAGCCAGTCACATCTGCCCTTGTAGGGTATATGAAAGAGAGAAGGAGAGAGAGAGAGAAAGAGGGAGGGAGGGAGGTGTTCTGGGTATTCCCGTTTTTCTCTGTAGGTCATGCACGCTGAAAATTATCCAGGAAATGTTTCCTAAATACACCTTCAGTGCTGTGCAAAAGTCTTGAACTATCCCTCATTTCCTTTTTGTAATTTTTAGAAAACCTATTTCTTCAGGCTTTCTAGAGATTTTTTAAAGTTTTCCCTGGACATTGGCTACTTTTTCACTAATTATAAGGCCTTGTAAACATTCAAATGAACATTTTTTTTGCTTTTTAAGCCAGTTAACGGTGACCTATGAGTCGTTCAAGCATGAAACAACATATAACTCAAGGGATCAACCTGTGTTGTATCTAGACAACTTAGCAAAGAACATTTCTTTATGAAAAATGCCAAAGATAACACAGTTTGACGGATATCAAATTATTTATTTTTTTTATCAGCATGACTCCAAAAGTGCTATTAGCTGAAAACTTGGACTATCTCATCCTGGTGTACAGTGTCTCTCTTATCTTATCTCTTAAAAAAACTGAGAAAACTGAACAAGTGGAGGAGAAAACTGGAAGTCTTGGACCTAAACCCCCACTACAGCACTATCTGAAAGTCATTCCCTTACAAAATTGGAAAGAATCCAGGAAAAACCTGACACGGGACCTGAGAGATACGTCTGCCCCGTCAGCTGATCAATCTACTGTGTGCCAAAGCTGCACTGCGCCCATTTTCCTAGCAAAACATAAAGAAATGAGGTGTGGATCATTTGCATAGTGCTGCATGTGCACACACTGCACTGATTGGGTGGATTGGTCTTTCCATAGGATTGGAAAGTTACAGCAGTCAGAAATGACCAAACTATAACCTCTGAGATCTGGGAGAACAGATAAACTCCCATTTGCCCCATTTCTTAAATCCTTCACTCTACCATGAAAGGAAGCATCCTAGTTAATGGAGAGTGGGTGATTGAGAGAGGAAAGGCACAACAAACAATGTTCTGTTTACTCTTTAATGGCTTTGTGTCCCCCCTCCCCCCGTGTGTTGAGCGCAGTGGTAATCTGATTATGAGATTTGAGAGTAGGTTAATTAGGGCTGGGAAGAGCATAACAGCTTTCTTATAAAAGACAGATTTTTGCATGAAGAAGATAAATCTTCTGCAAGATGTGAGGTTTATCCTAGCATGCAGGTAATGTCTTTAAGTGCAGCTGTGCATAGGATTACTTCTAAACAGTTACCAGACAACAACTGTGCTATCTGTAACTGTTGAGGTTGGTGGATCAGCAATGGGCTCCAGCGACACAGCACAGGTATGACTGCATGCTGGCAGCAGCAGGCAGTGGTTTACAACATCCAGACAGCTGCGTCGTAGTTGTATAAGTTTAACGTAAACACCTTCAGTGAGAAAGCGCAGAGCTGCATTAAGGCTGCTGCTGATATTTCAACAGCTTCTGCTCACCATCGAGGACTGAGCCTCAGTCACCACGCTAATGAGACTGAGAAAAACAACAGACACCGTTGGTTAAGCTGAGCTCAGAGGTTGGTGGGTTGGTTCAGGCAGATGCAGAGACCACCTGTTGCCTGACTTTCTCTGGTTTAGCGTGTGTGTGTGTGTGTGTGTGTGTGTAAGAGAGAGAGAAGGTGACATGTCAGGAGGATTGACCTTAAAGAAGCTTACCCACATACCCTTTTCACATTAGTGACTATAAGAGAGTGCACAGGATGGCATGCGTTTGAATAAACTCTTCCTGTTTAGTGATGTTAATTGACCAGAGTGGTTTTGAGATGAAACTGTGATCTGTTTGGGTGGTCTGGCCTTCACTTTGGTGGTCTAACCTGAGCACTTGCAATTTATTTCTATCCCAATAAAAGACGCTGATAGCATCGGCTTTTCTTTTCTAGACGATCACTTTTAAATCAGGAGCCATTTGAGAGACCGGTTAAGATCAAATAACAATGAAAAAGTCCAAATACTGAGTGACTTGTAGTTTTTTATTTCGGCTAAGTGCTCGCAGTGTTTCATTACAATGAGAGTTCATTTTAGGTGGTGGCTAATTAATGTTGGCTTCTGCTCTAAGTGATCGCAGCTGCTCCTGCCTGTTTTGTCCGCTGTCTGTCCATGCTGATCGCTGGCCTTGAACACAAGTACAAATGATGCCTTAGCTTTATAACCATGGCGATGACAGGACAGTTGGCCTTTCCAAAAGTCGCAGAGATTATTTCAAAGCTCTCGGTCACGCTGGTGGTGCTGCCGCATGAACGTGGACGTCTAGGCTCAAAGTCAGTGGCAGATTGTCTCGCTGTCACACAGAGGGATGAAAACTCTATTGTTAGCATGCTGTCGATCCATGACGCATGCTGGGTACACAACCGGTTCATGTGTGTCACAGATTTAAGCTTGGTTCACAGACCGGAGGGTAAAGGCTGGGGATGTACTTAATTAATAGACTAGAGCGATGTCCTCCATGGGTTGGGCTATTGTTCCTGCTGCCGCTAAGCATTTGTATTCACTCTTCGAGCCCACGTCATTCTCATTTGCTTATCTTTAAATTCCAGCGACTGTTGCACTTTGTCAAATTTCTCCCCAGTTCCAGTCCTCATTTTAATCCTAGATTGATGCACTTTACTTTCCGTCTTTATGTTTATCATCAATAATCACACATTTATCATGAAATGCTTCTGTTCACACTGTGTTCATAGATGCAGTATGCACAGTACTATTTGATTTCTGTACTGTGGTGCAGCAAAACGCCTTTGAGTAACTTCATCTTAAGAAGTTTTAATTTAACACAGAAGTACTTGACATCAGCACTGGCTGATTTGACTTGACCCTTGAACGAAATTTTTGATTTGCTGTCCTTCCCAACATCCTTGCCCAGAGCTCTGAAAACAGGGCTTTACTTCATATCCACAGCATGTCTGGTTTTCTCATGGACCTAAATTCTTTGCCCTCTTCCCAAATCTGGAGCTATATCTTGAATGGTAATCATGCAAAATGGCTGAGCTGATGAATCAGGTTGTATTTTGTTAGAAAGCCTTTAGTAAAGGAGGTGTACAACCAGTGTGCAACTTTTTCACCTCAGCCCAGGCCTAGAGCCACATCTAAATGCCTGCTGCCTGCCAGTGGAGGTGTGAAGGACGTGCTTTAGATAAAAGGAAAGTTGAACTGGGAGGTGTGAGTTTCCTGACTTGTGGTCACTACAATTCCCCCTCCCCCAGTGCCCCAGATCTAACCAGCTCAGTGGAATAACAGCGGAGCAGGAGATAAATATACACGCCCAGGGCACCTAGAAATGAGTAGGTGTGGGCTGCCTGGGAAACGGGATTCCCTGCATACTCATTGGTTGCAGGGGGGATTTGCTGGGGGTATAAAGGTCATGCATTGTTTTCTGAGAGGACACTTCTATTCTCACTGAGGCATAGGACACAGCCCTGATCTGACACCTCAGGATAAACTTTTTGGAAACTTGTGGGTATTTCAGCAAAGAGGACATTGGCCAGTGTGAGTTAAAGTTTGTCTGGCCATGCCTGGAGTGAACCTGGACTTCCTCCCAGCCTCTCAGTCTCCTAAGGCTTTGGGAAGCCCAGACAGTGCTTGTGCTGAGTCTGGCCTCGAAGAAGTAATTGGGGACCTGCTTGCTCAGGATGAAGCTGAGGATGAAGAGGAGCAATTTGGTGTGAAGAAATTTGAGGCAACATTGCGCTGTGCCGTGGGGGAGATCCACAGTGACCTGCAAGCCTTTGGGAAGCGAGTGGATGCCCGGCTGGATGAGGCTGCGGCTGAGGTGGCTCCTCTGGCTGAGACAATGTCCAGGTTGCAGGAGGAGAACCTGAGACTGAGGATTCAGCAGGAAAGGCTGATGAGGCAAGTTGAGGCCCTGTGTCAGGTGATGGGGCTACCTGATCCATCAATGCATGAACTTTACAGCAAAGACTGCTCCAGTTTAATTTCTAATAAAAGCAAAACTTCATCCGGTGGTGCTCCATCCTGCATGCAAGAGACTGGGTCTGAAAAACTCCAGGATGCTTCCAGCTGCACTCCCCAACACTCTCTTTCCAGTGCACCTCAGGAAACCCAAGCACACCATCTCCTGCATAGTCAGTTAAGTGTACCCCAGGAGCCTCTAACGCCCATCCAGCACTCAGTCTCTCTGTCTCCCAGGACAAACGCACCTTCACCGGCCCCTCACCCGCCAACCTTTGCTACGTGCCGCTCCCTCTCTGCTCCCTCTCTGATGGCAAACATTTCTCTCTGCAACAGCATGGTACTGCTCTGTTAATGATTCTGATCATGATCCCTTTAATTCAGATAAGCCACTTGAAGAATGGGACTGTCTTTTTGTGCCAGTGTTGCCAATACCTGCGGATCAGCAGACCATTAATTTTATGTGCCGCAGCAGCGATCCCGTGTTCAAACCACATACTCTCTCTGGTCACCTCTTTCAAATCTCTCAGTAAGCTTGACCGTCTCAGCTGACCGTCTCAGCTGCCACAGATTCTGACAGATTGTGTTTATGTGAAGGACTCCACCGCAGTCTGTCACAGAGGTATTCCTGTGCTGTAACACCATGCGTCTCTAATTGTGTCCCGGTTCGCATTCATGGATGCCTGCAAGTGTTCTGTTGAGTGGATGCACTTCCCGGCGGAGGGAAGGATGATTACATTTAGCAGCAGCCTTTTAGTTTGCCATCTGCAGATTGTGTGCCGTGCTCACTTTGGCAGGCACATGAAGATAGAATTGAACGTTTGAAGTCTTTCTTCTGCTTTTTGTTCCTTTTCATTTATAAAGTTGCAATCACGAGTTAGAAAGAAAATGCAAGGAAGGAAAGCAGGTCCCGCAAAGCCACTGAAGGCGTTTTTAACTCGTGTGGCACAGTGTGTGGCATGCACATTCATGTTTTTCAGAAAAGAGCCTCGTATCAAGACGTCAGGTTAGAAAAGACTAAAAGGCTCTGATTAGATGTGGTCCTCATCTTGAGGCTTGTTTGCTTTTGCAACTGTGTAACATACCCTCTGTGTGTGCACTTGTAACATTTCCAGGGATATTGTAAATTTGCAGCATGAGATTCAGTTATTGAACCATGCAGAGTCTAATCTTGTGGAGGCAGCTGGGACCTCCAGTCAACTACTTTAAGTCAAGGTGACTGGTTTCCATTAAGTGGTAATCCTTTCAGCAGACCGATGTGATAATGAGGGGTGATCTTGTCTGATCGTGTTTCTGTATGTCTTTGCCCAGTTTCAGCTTGTTTTGCCATTTTTTTCTATTTATACTTTTTCACCTGGAACTGGTCAAAGCAGTCTCCCATCACAGAAAAAAAAAACCTATCAAAACAGGCTTTTTTAAAATTCCACAATGACTTGGATGTTTATAGGTACACTTAGGCTTAGTTATACATGACTCGACCACAAAGGTTATCGGGGAGCTTCTCACCCCGTGTGCATTCCCCCTGTGGCCTGACTCAGAGACCTTGTCTGGCTGCATTGCCTCCCAGAACATTCTTCATCGGTCGCGGGCCTCTCAGTCCAGCCTGTCCCATGGGTCAGAACTCTGTGTCCAGAAAAGAGTTGAAAACCAGGGACCACCTTTGATCACCCAGTTCTGTGGCTGAGCTGGGCATTGTCCCTCCCTGCTGAGACCTGGTTTGGCTGGGGGACTTCAGTGGGCAGGACTCGGCGGCTGTGGATACAGATGGGACCAGCTGCCTGAGCTATATCTGGACCCAGAGTCGTTTACAGCAAAAGCATTGAGGCCACAGCTAGAACATATAGTCTGCCACAGGCATTCGGCACCATATGAACATGTAAAAGGAATTTTCTATAGGATTCATGGTAACTCTCAATAATGCAACACATTCCCACGTTCCTCAGCTCTGCTCCTCAGCCCTTAGGAGATATTTTTCCTCTGGACTTTTTTATATAGTAATGCGTTGTCCCTATTTTACAGTGAGAGTAAAGCATTGCTTCTGTCACATAAACTCGGGTTGGCAGCAGTGTTGTATGATTAAGAAAAATCCATGTGTCAGCAGCACTCCATAAACTAGTGAACAGTAACTTGGCAGGGTTTCTTTTAGCCTCGTGTGCTTATTGTCACTCCCTCGCAGATCATCCCGCTGGAGCTGGCCTAGAGACAAGGAAGTTATTACTGGACAGGAAGTGTCAGACGTACTGTTCCTGCGATGTGTTAGAGCAGCCCTCGGCTTGTTCTGATTACATCTTAAATGTCAGCCACTTTCAAATAAGTTTTCTTTTTTACCTTCCTTCATTTTGGTTCTGGCTCTGGTTTAAAAAGTGTCCTCCCAGTAGCTCACTGATTTCCAACTAAGGTCACGGTTTTCTTTGCAGTCTATGATAATAAATGTGCTCCTGTTCACACTCTGTGTTGTGTTACTGTGTTCGTTTTGCGCGCAGATGGAGACGGGGCCCGTCGTCGCTTCTGAGCCAGTGTTTTCAGCTGTCTCGTCTGTCCAGCGTCACGTCCCACTCATTCCCAATGGCTCTGGCGCTCAGACCAAACCTGCTGAATTCTCCGGGAAACTAACGGCTGAAAAGCTGGCTGCGATCGAGGATGAAGAGCTCCTCGACAAAATGGTACGTCACGCCGGAGCCATAATTCTCAATGATTTAAGTTATTATTTCAATAAAAGTGGTGTTTTGATTCAGGCGTGTGGAAAGTTTGTGCATTGACACTAAACCTTGTCACAGCTCTGCATTGTGTGTGTGCAGATTTGTAGCATAGAAAGTACCAATTGGGCAAATTTGCATAGAACGACCCCTCATGTTTCCATCCCCTCTTTCACAGCTCGATGAGTCAAAAGACTTTGAGGAGAGGAAGATGATCCGCGCAGCCATGAGAGACCTCCGTAAAAGAAAGAGAGGTAACATCATGCATCTTACTGTTACTCCAAACTGCATGAAGGCTTTCTTTTTAGATATTTAAAAGCAGTCAGGCCTGATGATTTCTAATTTTCATCTGCTTTTTTGTTATTGTTTATACCTTATCTTGACACGTAATTGCCTTTAATTCTGCCCTCAGAGGCCATGCTGGGATGTACTCAAGAAGAAATGGGTAGGACAGGTGGTGTGCAGTGTGCAATAACAATTTATACTTGCCTGTGTTTGCCTTTTTGTGTGCACACACCCTGTCATTGTGAGACCACAACAATCTTAGATGTGGTTTGTGACGGAGGATATTATGATTTTTTTTTTTGGTATCTTGCATGGATCCTGTGTTTTGTTTTTGGGTTTTTTAATGTGTCAAACACTCACCCTACAACAGTTAAGATCTGTTTTTCTGCGGGCACTCACCATGTGGTTTCATTAGGCACCTGCTAATGGTGAGCTCAGATTTAGAGTGGATGCGTCAGTGGATTTGGTGGAAATGAGCATGCAAAGGGTCCAAGAGAACCTCGGTGATCTAGATATTAGACACAATTTAAGTTAGTAGATCATTAATACTGTGCAGTATGTGTAAATGCATGCGTGTTTTCTGAGAAAAACTACAGCCATCAGTGCAGGTACCAGCGTTTTCAACATCGCAGTGTGTATTTGCTCTCTGTGGTCTGTGGTGTTTGCGCAGAACATCTTATTTGACAGCTTTGGCTTGCCTGTTAAGACTCCCACCTGTGGGTGTTTGTGTGCTCAGAAACCCTCACAGTCCCGTGGAAAGAATTCTCAAACATATTGCCTCAAATCTGGAAGGCCTCACTTAATCCAACTTTGTGGCAGTCAGATGAGGTGCTGTCAGCTTATTTAGGACCTCTTGTCCTCCTTCTCCTCCTCCTCTTTTTCCACTGACATCATCTCTCTACCATTCCCGTCTCCTCTCCTCCAGACCAGAGAGAAAAGGAACGCGAAACCCGCCTGCAGGAGCTCCGGCAGCAGAGAGAAGACCGGGTGCAGAAAGGTCGTGCCGGGGTCGGAGCGGGAGAGGTGGTCACGAGCAAGGTGGAGAAGTCGGCAGATGGGTCAGCCGTCGGCCAAATCACCAAAACGAACCGCTTTGCTCAGTCTGGTAGTTTCTAATCTTTCTTGAACCAGCATTTAACTGAAGTAAAACCAAAACAATAAAACCAATCTATAAACATTCAAAACAAAGACATTAGCTTGAAAGTAAAAAGAGTAAAATTGTGTTGCATCAAAAAAATTAATTATAAAGACAGAGATGGGAAGAATTTTATAAAGAATGGTCAATTTTAAAAAGTTTTGGTGTGTTTTCAGATGATGGGAGCAAATCAACACGCAGTACTATTGTCGAGTCCAGTTATGTGCAGAAAACAGACAGTGAGTTTTGCTTGCTGGATTTACAAAAACACATTCACTCGAGTGCATTGCATTTTTTTTCTTAATCTTCTCATTAATGTGTCCGTGTGATTGTCGTTCTAGGAGGGACAGTCCAGTCAAAATCATTCAGCTTCACCTCTTCCACCTCCACTAACACGAGCAAAAAAATAGGAAGGTTGGTCACGAGGCATTTGTACTGTTAACTACAGCAGATTTAAATATCTGTGCACTCTCTCAAATTAACCTCCTGCGCTCAGTGTGTTCGACCGCGAGGACGACGCGTCGTCGCGAAGCGGCAGCGGCGGGTTGGCCGCCATCGAGCGAAGGCAGGCGGAGAGGCGCAAGGAGCTGATGAGGGCTCAGACGCTGCCGAAGACATCGGCCATGCAGGCCCGCAAAGCCATGATAGAGAAGCTGGAGAAGGAGGGAGGCGGGTAAGAATAAACAGAAAGGTAGTGCTACCAAAGAAAGAAAAGGAGCAGATGGAGGCATGTAAATATTAACACAAAACTGACTTTTCTTTTAGCCCTGGAAATCAGGCGGTGGCCAAGGTAAACAAAGTCCAGCGCTCCACCAGCTTTGGCGTACCCAATGCAAACTCCATCAAGCAGATGCTCCTCGACTGGTGTCGTGCCAAGACCCGCTCATATGAGGTGAGCCAGCGATCCTCCACGCTAAGTGCTCATTTTTAATCTTGAACCTGAGCTGAGATGATACTTTGGGAAAGTTTCCACTGCTTATCCATCCCCGTCTGCGTATCTCTTTTGTTTCTTTTTCTTCGTCAGCATGTGGATATTCAGAATTTTTCATCCAGCTGGAGTAACGGCATGGCGTTCTGTGCCCTGGTGCACAATTTCTTCCCCGAAGCCTTTGACTACAACTCCCTGAGCCCGAGCAACCGCAGGCAAAACTTTGAGGTGGCCTTTAGCGCTGCAGAGTGAGTACACGCTGAAGACAGGTTCTTCCTAACATTTGCAGTGACTGTAGGAAACCAATGGAAGAACTACTGTGTTAGGCCTATAGGTGTAGAAGTGATGAGCCAGTTTGATTCGCTGCCCCGCTCCCCTTTATTCTGTGTCGCTGTATGCCGGCATTTGCAGACCAGTGGTATGGGAAAACTTCTCGACCGATGTCCTGCTTTCCCCCTTTCTCCCAGGTTTATCAAAACCCCACTCATGACTGAGCCCATTACTACTCTAATACCTCTGCCTCTAAACCTCCACTCTTCCCTCTCCTATGAGTAACCGCTCTGACACCCCAATCTCCTCCAAACCAGATCCCCACGGGCAATCCCACTCCAAACAGCAAACAGGTTAAAAAAACAAAAACTTCTAAGCTCGCCTCTGTGCCTTGAGTCATGTCCCTTTATTTTAGTCTAAAACTCTTTCCTCTCCTTGTTCTTTTCTTTTTCAAATTCCTCTTTTATGCCACCAGTCTTCACTTTTGGTACCCCCACCCAGCTGTGTGTGCATCTTCACGTGCTCCTACCAGGATAATGTAACGCTGAGATATCTCAAGTAGCGAATCGTACTCAGCACTGTGCTGTCACTCAGCCACAGCCCCACCCACTCCCCCAGATCTTCTCACCTTTGTGTTGCACTATCACTCACCTCCCCGGGCACTCCAAATCCCCGCCAATAGTTTATGTTTACTATCTGGATTCTTGATACGCACTCAAACACACACTATACTGTGCACCAGTGTGGTTGTTTTTGTTAGTCACTCTGTCGTTGTAACTTTGGGGGTTTTTTTGTGTGTTTTTTGCAGAATCCACGTTGTTTTTTTCATCGTGTCTCGTATTTCACATTGATTATGGTTAAAAAAAACAACAACAACAACAAAAACATCCTCGTCTCAGTGCACAGAAAAAAACAACAGCAAACAAAAAGGCTAAATGAGCATCGCCTGGCGCTCATTTGACATTTTGTTTTGCCTTTGTGTGTGTGCGTACGTGTTTTTGTCACGCACTGTATGTATGTACTGAGATGTTCATGAAGCATGTCAGCTCATGGATATATTTGTGAACACAGAATGTAATGTGATTGTTTTTTCTTTGTGTTCTTTCTCACTCCTTCTGTTTTTGTTTTTCACTGGCTGCTCACTGCTTTCTGTTTTTTTTTTTCCACTCCCACTTCCTCATTTTCCCACACTCTCCATCTCTTTGTCTACTCTCTCCGTCCCGTTTCTTCTGTGTCTTTTTATCTGTCCTTTGCCTGTTGTGTTTCCTGTTCTGTCCACGTTGTTTCTGTCTTTTTGGGTCCTTTCCTTCCTCTCCCTATTCCCTTCCTCTACCCCCTTCCCCCGCTGGCCGTGGGTGCAGGAAACTAGTGGACTGTCCCCAGCTGCTGGATGTGGACGACATGGTGAAGATGCGTGAGCCAGATTGGAAGTGTGTGTACACGTACCTGCAGGAGTTCTACAGGGGTCTGGTGACGAAGGGCCTGGTTAAAACCAAAAATTCCTCCTAGAGTTGCACCCCAGCTAAAACAGAGCCTATGGTGAGAGAGGGGACGAGCTTGTGAGAGAACCGCACACACTCTGTGGTTCCCGACAGACTTAAAATGTAAAACACAGAAAAACTCCTTTATTGGCTTCTTTTGGATATTTGATGCTTCATGTTAATCTGAAGCTCCAAAGTACCAAACATGGTGTGTGTGTGTGATAGCATGTGTGTATCTGTATTCTGAGACTATGGCTCAGGCAGAGGGCCAGGACCATCTGCAGATCAGTGCTTTAAAAGGAACTGCCGGATCACAACGTTTCAAACAGAGTTAAGGAAAAAAAACAGAGAAGGATGAAGCCTGCTTTGTGCACCAAGTTTTTATCAAGTGTAAGGTTACAGGTGTTTATGCACTTGGCTTGTCAAGCCTTGTAAAAATACTCTAATAGAAATAAAGTGCAGACTGATTTATGTCCACAGTTCCTGAAATTACTGAAAAAATGTTACGTTGTTGACGTCTCATCGGCCCATCTGCTGTTTTTAGGTGCTTTTTCTCTTTGTGGGATTTCTCAGGGGTTAGAGTGTGAGGAGATGTTGCCACCTTGTGGTTACACTCTGCATAGCTCACACTGGAGGTCTCAGTTCTTAAAACTGTTTATTGAAATGCCCAACATTACCCAAGTTTATTTATACAGAGCTTTTAAAGGGTCCATAATGGTTTAGAGCAAATGTGCCAAAGACTCTAGCACACTAAACAGCTTTGGAAAATGTGAAGAGCAGCAAAGTTTCTACTGTTAAAGACCTCCTCCATGGCCATTTATACTATATTCATAGATAAAGAATCATCTATTTGAAAAAGAAAAAGAAACTTGTAGTGAACATGATGATTTCTCCTTCCCAGCTGGTCTTCTGTCTGTTCTGCTTTCTCATGCACGCTGTCCTGTACGCCTGTTCCTCAGGACCCACGCCAACTGCATGCCTTTGCTGGAGGTGGAAGACATGATGATCATGGGTAACAAACCAGACTCCAAATGCGTCTTCACCTACGTGCAGTCTCTGGTCAACCACCTGCGCAGACATGAGATGTCCATGGGTCGGCCCTGTGACCTCTGACCTGTTTCGGGCTCCCCCCCCCCCTAACCTTCACCTGATGATGGCCTCCACTCTGACAGCAGGCTGGGTCAAACAGTTGCACATCTCTGATGGTCGGCTTGGGGATTGCAAGCATGTGTGTATGTATCAGTTAAAATCAGCTTAAAATGTTTTCCGGCAGTGATAATGTGTGTTGCTTATTCTGGACACACACACACTGTCGACACAAAAGTCCAGTAAGAGATCAGCAGCAGCATGATTCTTAAAAAGACCCCTTTGTTTTAAAAAAAAAAACAAAAAACTCCAAGTAATATTCAACAGGCAGTAGTTTGATCACATTGCTGTTGTACTGAGAAACGGCTCAAGAGAGAAAAAAGAAAAATAGTTTTCTAGTATTTGCAGGTTTTTGCAGTATTTGTACGTGCGTTTTTCTCTGCTACACTTTTGTAAGTACTGTAATGTGTTTGCACTTCTCTCAGTAATCTCACTGAAAAAGAAAAAACTTATTATTTCTATTCAATTTTGGTACTTTTACTTTTTTTTTTTTAACCAAACTCATGTTGCTTGAAGTGTTTTAATTAAGTTATTTTCATTTTGATGTAATTGATGAGTATAAGGATTCTTATTACGTGAGCACAGGGATTTTCTGCCTTTGTTATTCAAATGGATTCAACATCGTTGCTGTAATCTCACTTTTCTGAAGTCCAAACAGCTACTGAGGACATTTACTGGACATTTGATCCATCCTGTATGACCACACCACCACCATCGTCATCATCACCATCATATAAGTATGGATGAAAGATGCTAGCTGTTAAACTGAGGTTTGGATTTTTTTGTATTTCGGTACAAAGAAGTCATTCAGCTGATTTGTGTCATTACTGGCTGTTTGGTGGACAGCACACACACACCTCCCACCACCGCTGCATTGCCCTGCCACACACATTCTCACACAGCTGTTAGAGGGCTCCTTATTTATGCTTGAGTAGTTTTTAATACGGTTAACGCTGGTGTGTACATCGTGCTTTTAAAAGGTTTTGTCGATAAGCTTAAGATGCCACAATGTTATTTTTTCCTGTGTGAAAGCCGGCTTTCAGTACAAACATGAGGATTCATGACTGATAACCAGCCAACTGTATATTTAACTAAATGTAGCTAAGAGGAAACGGGACAAAAATAATTTTAAATGAATATTTTATTTCACTTGTATAAAATTTGGGTTTCTACGAGAAGAAAATTTGGTTTCAGAGTTGATTTAAAAGAAGCTTATTTCTTAGATTTGAGAGATTATTTGAGAACTATCTGCTGCCGACAGAAAAAAAGCTTTCATGAAGCAGTGGAGTATTGTATGTGTATGTGTGTGTGTATATATATGAGAGCTAAAACACATTATTTCATTTTTCTGTGCACCACAGTTAAATGTGAAATAAACCAATTTGAGAAACAAACGTGTGTTTGTGTGGGATTATTACTTGGAAGGCTATCCATGGTCCCAGCAGCGTGGGATATCTGCACACAAAGACTCAGCACAACAAGAGCCAGAGCACACTTCTTTTTAAAAATGGTTTACTTTCCATGCACTTGAGTCTTTTTGTGCGCATCAGCCCAACCCACCAGAACACGCAGCATCAACCCCAGGCCAGTCAGACGATTTTCAGCCTGAGGCTTCATTTAGTTTCACAGTAGGTCAGAGGCAATCACAGACACACAAAAGAGCTCAAGCTCATTACAACAGATGACAACACAATGGACAGTGGCGTTAAAAAAAAAGGTGCAAATTCAGACTGTGGAGCGTCTACAAAGGCCTGCTGACGGGCTCATCTGTAATCTGCTAGGCTCTGAAATTACAAACATTTCTGTCACCTGTGATAATCAGCTGGTTGTGGAGCAGCTAAGGGAGCTATAGGGGTACTGTTACTGCTGATGTCTACTCTTACAGGTCAGTGTGTTTGACTTCTGTGCTGGGCTCTGAGGAGCCACTCTCTGTGGCTATAGATGAAGCAGAAGGCTGGTAGGCAGGCTCATTTTTGAACGGGCTGTCTTTGGCAGGAGAGAAGCGGAACTCCTCCGGCACCTCGGCCTCGGCCTGAGCCTTCTTGTAGAAACCCAGTTTCCCCAGCAGCTCATTTATCTCAGAGCGGGTCATGTCAGACAGGGCGACGCGCTGCGGAGGAAACACACTTGTTATAAAAGGACCATTAAACTGTGCTCTAAACAAGACACTGATCTGCGATATATTAATAGTGCAGTAAAGCTGAGCTGAACATTGATGGGTTTAAAGAAACCTGAAAAAACATTAAACCTGCACAAATGAATTATGTGTCGTGTGAAAAGATCACTCGTGATGATGAAACTACAAAGCTCTGAAACATTTTACATTTCTTTTGGATCCTTGTTACAGTTTTCTGGCCAATGTGCTGCTCTTTTTAATGTCATAACAGACAGTTGTATTTATACAACCCATTTAAAAGCACGGGAACTGGCCCAAAGAGCTTTCCAGTGGAGGCTGATTAACAATGCAAACATACAAGACGTCACAGGAAGGAACAACAGGTGCAAAAAAAAAAAAAAAAAGCGATAAAGGCTGTTAACCACAACCACGGCAACAAATACAGGAGTTAAGAAAAAATAAGGCTATATAAAAGATATGGCTGAAGTTAAAAACAAGATAACACCTGAGAACAGGAAAAGTAAAAAGGAGAAAAATCTGATTAAATCATAAGAGTACTTTAAAATTTCAAAGAAGCCTCAGATCAAACAAAGTGATCTGCGAGTCATTTCACGGAAATGCTCCCGGCATTTACAAAAATATTACACTTGAAAAACACTTTAGGGTTACAATTTATTTCCACATTCAAATAAAACGTTATCCGAACTATTACATCTTCTCGAATATTCAGTTCAACAATTTTTTTTTTGTTTGTTAAGTGATAAATAAGTTTGACCATCACAAAAATGCTCATCCCCACAGTCAAGTATAGTGATTCAATGCTGTATTTTGACCACAAAAATATGCTTTTTACCATTTAAAACGCCATAATAGGACTATCACATATATTTTAAACATGACACAACAAAGCTGAACTTGTGTAACTGCATGAGAAAAGTCTATTGTTTTGAATTGCTAGTGGTAAGTGGTTTATCTGAATTCCTGTCTTATTTAATAATTTGAAGCTTTTAGTTAAAGTCACTGGTGTTACTCACTTTACTTTTAGGGAAGTGCAAAATACATAAATTGATTAAATGACAGAACTTAATGAATATGAGGTGACTGACAGCATGTCAGGTGAGTGACATGCTGTCTAATTTGGGTGTCTAATATCTCAGCAGATGGTTCACTGCGTCACTGTTTTTTTGTCACATAAAATAAAACATGTCATATTTGACCAGATAATTTCACAGCCATTGAATTTTGTTACACTTAAGGCTTAACATATGAAGGATTACTTACTTTTAACTGTATGAAATTAATAAGACAATCTGCTGATTTGTTGCACGATTATTATAACCGACTACGTGGCTGAAGAGCCTGAGGAAATAATATTCATTAAAACGCCTGAAGACTTGCAGAAGGAGTAAGGAAACACCGTTGAGGGAAAAAAAAAGAATCACAGCACAACCAGGCTTTGAAATTTGGGGGGAAAAAAGCTGTCATTTTTGTAACTAAATAGTCAGTTAAGTAATAATTTAGTTCAAGTTTAAATGTTAGAAGTAAGTTCTTGTCATATCAAAGTGGGATATATCTGTAGAATGACCTGTGCTCGGCAGATTTCTTGTTTCCTTCTGAAGTTATTTTAATCCAAAAGACGGGAAAAGCTCAGAGCCTGCTCAGCGGTCACAGGACACCTGTTTGTCATCATTTCAGCTGTAATCTCTTCGAGTAATGATGTCAAGTGTTGATGGTGAGATGCTTTACTTCAGTTGTTAAACAGATTCTGACATTCAGCACAAACGAGTGTCATATTTGCTGCAAGTAAACAACAAATACAATTTACAAAAGGAAAATAAAAGAAAGGCACAAAACACACTTACGTCCAGCTCTTCATAATAATGGTTCAGGAGGACAAGCTCAGGGTCTGCGCCAGGAATGTGCTTCATCACCAGGTTATGGCTGAGGTGGTGCTCAGGGATTAAACAGCGTGCAGTTTATGAGCAGATATTTCTAAAGAGTAACAGTGCACTTCAGTGAAAGGATACTAAAGAGGAATATCCTGGATCACAAAGGCTTTGACCTGCAGACAGAGGTTTGGATTAGTGTTTTCCACTCAGTTTGGGTTTCAGTGGCAAATGTGTCAGAGATTATGTGAAACTCTAAACTAAAATGTTCCTCAGAGAGAAAAAAACTTCTAGGCAGGAGTAAGGCTTTAGCCTGCCTCTGACCCCTGGCTCTCAGTGTTTTGTCACTTTTGTTCACATAACAGGGCAACTTGCCTCTCTGAGCCTGTTCAGCTGTCATCCACCACACGTCTGAGGAAAGACAACAACACAAGAAACAAGAAAAAGTTACATGCAGAGCTCGTGTTTCAGAAATGGGGCTTTACAAGAACTGGAAACATGATTACTGAACACACGTCATCTGCAACTGTAATGCATCTTTATACAGAAAAAAAAAATCATTTATGTGCTGGTATCACTGCGAGCTTTTACTTTGAAGAACGCTTAGTACGGCACCAGGGAAGGCCACCCGACCTATTTTTGCTGATATCTGAGCCTCAGGTATAAGGCGTGACTAACACTACAATAACAACAGATCATGATTTGCTTCAGTGATGCTGGCAAGTAGGTGACTGGGTAGGTGACACCCTGGGGGAAACTGCACAGATCTCAAAAGAAAAAGGTGTAGAGTTTCAGTCTTTGTGCAGAACCGCCTGTTACACACCCTGTGCCCCCCTTTTAAGCTTCCACCAAGTCACTTTGTGATGACGATTTTAGGGTTACTAAAATAGTAACAATGTGAATTAGAGACCGTGTTCTTCATTAGATCGCAGGCCATTCAAGCACGGAGGCATCCATTCACCTTAGTACACATCTGTCCTGCTCACGCATGCGCCCAATCCAAAAATGTTTAAAAGCAGGGCACCCATTCACACGTTTAAACGATAATTGCCCCTGACACGATTATTTCCGTGTTCTTCTTTATGCGGAGGATTATGAAAAAAAAAAATAAAGCCTTATGTTACCTCCACCCTCGCTCTTGCCAGCCCCTCCAGCTTCTTCAGATCCACATCATAAGCCGAGGCGCAGTGAAGTAAACTGGCCAACACGATCAGCCACATTTCTCCTGCTTCAGATCGAGGAGCCGCACTCGCTCTTCACCGGGACCAGTACCTGCAGATGATTGAAGGTAACCGAGCTATGGAAGAGGAGGGAGGAGAGATGATGAGCAGCTATGTCACGTCCGGACCTTTTGCCACGTCAAATATTTTTGTGGCGGAGAGAGGAGCAGGCGTGGTTAGCGCGCTCATTGGTTATTCCAGGCTTCCTTATGGATTTCATGCGCGCTCACAGGCGGTGTAATTGTAGAGATGGACAACGGAAAGAGCTCTGTTATTGTCTGCGTGCTCTTCTTTTTTTGATGTCCTTTTGTGCAAAGTGACACATGTTACATTAATAACAGCATAATTTTAAATTCCTAAATGCACTGGATTATATGGTAGACTGATCCTGAGGGTGAACTATGCAAAGTTATTTAGCCTGTGTAATATTGGATTTAGGAGGATTAAAGAAGATCGATTGTTGTAAAGGATTGTGGTTGAAAAACTCAGAGTCCCGTGAAGGAAATGTGATATTTACCAAGTCAAGGACTATTTAATGAGTCACAACCCTGTGTGGGAGCAGACTTTTCAGGTGCCCCGCACTACAAAAGTTCTCACAGTGACCGGTGAGCGCTGAGCTCAAGAAATATTAGATCCGAATATGAAATAAATCCAACTTACTTGTATTTTACCTTCTTTCGCTGTTCTCCTGTTTAAATATAAAGGATAGATCTTCCTATATAAACATTTCTGGGAAGAAGAAAAACTGGAGCTGTTTGCTGTGTTTGCACTGCTCTGTTTCCGGGGTTAAAGCAGCAGGTGACGGTATGTAAACCATTAGTTGAAACAACAGGAAGGAGGAGGACCTCCCCTTGAGTTAAGAAGGGTGTCAGGTTTACAATCTCACTTGAAAAAACCGTGGAAATAAGTTGCGCCAACATCAGTGAGGTAAACTACAACTTCACAGCTCACCTCCCTGAACTCACTGTGCTGTTGATCAGCTTCTTTGTTTTCAGGATGTCCCTTTCAGGACTGCTGTGCTGAGACTTCTTATGCGTCAAGTGAAGCTCATTTGTGTGAAACTCGTTTATAAATAGACTTCACTGGTGCCACCGGTGACAAATAAGTCAGTCACAACACTGGGACAAATGTTATGTTTTTATTAGGGCTGTCAGTCGATTAAAATATTTAGTCGCGATTAATCGCATACTTATCAATAGTTAACTCAAGATTAATAGCAAATTAATCAGATTTGTTTTTTAAATCAGTTCTAAAGAAACTTCAACAGCATACTCTTCATGTTTCTAATACCCTTAACAGTATGGGAGTGAACAAATATACTTGCTTTATGCAAATATGTTTTTATTGCAACAATTCAAAACAATGAAAAGTCCAAAATACTCTTCAGAAAAACCTCAAAGGTACTGAATGCTCAAATATCTAAATTATCAGCACCGGGAAAAGATCAGGTATGCTATACCATGTTAAACCAACTCAGTGAGTCAGCTAAAGATCTTTTGTGGATTTATCTCTAAATATCAAAGTGGGTTTAGAAGAAGGAGGAATACTATGGATCCAGTTTTATGTTTGGAACATGAAGTTCGAAAAGCACAAACAAACAGTGAGAGTGTAGTTTTGATATAGAAACGGCCTATGATATGATGTGGAGAGATGGCCTACTAATTAAACTCTGTAAATTGGGTATTAGGGGGGGGATGTACGGGTGGATAATGGATTTTTTAAAGGGGCGACATATTCAATTGAGGATTGGGAAGGTTTTTTCTGAAAGGTTTTTGGTAGAAAATGGTACACCTCAAGGGAGCATAGTGAGCCCTATGTTATTTTCTTTGATGATAGATGATGTGTTTAATGATATAGAGGCAGGGGTGGGATGTTCACTTTTTGCTGATGATGGAGCAATATGGAAGAGAGGGGAAAATATAGAGTATATTGTGAAGAAACTGCAGGGAACAATTAGAAGAGTCGAAGAGTGGTCTTATAAGTGGGGTTTTAAATTTTCGGTTGATAAAACCAAGGTGATGTTTTTTTTACAAGGAAGAGAGTTGGTAAAGACATCAAGCTTAAGTTGTATGATCAAGAATTAGAAAGGGTGAGTAAATTTAAGTTTCTTGGATTGTGGTTTGATGAAAGGTTAACATGGGCTGCACATATTCAGAAGGTGGTGGACAAATGTAAAAAGGTGTTGAATCTAATGAGGTGTTTAATTGGGAGGGACTGGGGAGCGGATAGGAAGTCTTTGAGGGCCATACACTGGGTTGGTCAGTTCACTGTTGGATTATGGGTGTGTAGCATATAACTCAGCAGCAGACACAACTCTGGTAAAGTTAGACCATATTCAGTATCAGGCACTACGAATTTGCACAGGTGCATTTAAAACAACTCCAACAGCAGCTTTACAGGTGGAGATGGGAGAGATGCTATTAGGACTGAGAAGGGAGCAGCTCATACTTAATTATTGGGCTAATTTACAGGGCCACGGGCAGGATCACCCAACGCATGAAGTACTTAAACCTTGCTGGGAGAAAGAAAGGAGGGAAAAGAAGAGTTACCGGCAGTACCTCCATGGCTACTTCCTGATGCTACAGTAGACTTAACATTGTTGAACCAGAAGAATGAGGATAAGGCATTTACTTTGAACTCTCATGCGGTACAGGCTTACATTGACCACTATTACTTTAAGATTAGGAGATAACAGTATCAATAACACTTTAAAATTTATAGTTTGAATTATTTAAAGTGACCTTTAAGTGATTTAAAGTGACCAGTGTAGCAGCTTGTAAACATTGAGCAGAATTCTTGAGAATAAGGAGTGTCCTAGACTAAGGATTGTGCATGCTGTTATATATTTTTTTCTGTAGTAATGTGAAAATGCATCAATGTTCATGCATTAAGTTAAGATAAATAATTAACTGTTTGTTACAGGTAGTGTTATGAAGGTCTAGTGTAGGTACTGTTAGCAGCTTCAAGCTAACCACAGTGCACGGCTTTTCCCAAGTCTTGGCCCTAAATAGCACAGACATAAACACACACTCCGTTTTTGACTCATGCATTTTTAAGTACCAGTGAGACTCATGAGGTACCCTCAGGTGTTTCCACAGGCTAACGTAGAATTAATTAGTTTTTTCCCCCTCTTTGAATAAACCGGTATTTATGACAGTGAGTGCACTAGTTCCAAGTCTTTATTTTGACATTTATATGCAGTAAATACAATAACGATAATTAGAAGTAATGAAAAAACATTACACAAAGATACATCATTATCACTGTATCATTGACCCATAACTAGGAAGTGAGTATATTACATGTTTAATAAGTGACATAAGGTACAAATGTGCAACACTGGGTGATGGTTTAGTTCATCAGGCAAAGCAGGTGACCCATATGACTTAAAACTAATTGGAATGAAATGGAATAAAACTATTGTGGTCTGACGGGAGGCTAAATGCTGGGTTAGAATCTGGCCTGAGGCTATTTACTGATTGTCTTTCTCCCTGCTCTTCATTCTTTTCTCCCCTGTTCTATTATAATAAAGCCCCCACCCATCAATCAAAAGTAAGAAAGGAAACTTAAGAAACCTGCCCTGATTAAATTATTTAGAATAGTATAGTCCTTTTGTGTCATTGTACATGCTGTACTGGAATAAAATATAAATGGTAGATGGCAGGAATAAACAGCAAAGAGGAGAAATATATACAACCAAGAGGAATATACACAACAATAAGACAAAGGCACACATTAGAGAACAATAGTTGCTTGGAAGCAGTGCAGAGATAAGACTTGCTCTGAGTAGAGTCCGTGTGTGAGTGGCCTGAGTGATGAGGGTTTCTCAGACCATGGCTCAGGTTGGTGAGGAAGGTGAGCAGAGGTGGGGGGGCATAGTGTTTATTGACAGTCTGAGTGGCCCAGGGGAAGAAGCTGTTTATGAGTGTGAAGGTGTGGGACCTGGTTTTTCTGAGATAGGAAGATCTGGCGATCGCCTCCAGGGGTGGCAGAGAGCAGCCAAGGATTTTTTTGGTTGGTGTTAATTTCCCTCTGCACAGCCTTCCTGTTCTCAGTTGTGGCCCCTGCGTACCCAACACCCAGGCTGTAGGAGAGCATGTTCACCACTGAGGAGCCGTGGAAGGCCATTTATTGCCTTTTGTTGTTAATGGACAGTGTAAAAAGACATCTAAGAGGAGGAAGAGTGCAGCAATTTATGGAACTCCAGCTAGTGTCTTTAAGCAGTGAGATGAGATCTGAGGACTGTCAAAAATTGGTTTAAGTAATATGCCCTGCAACAGAGTTTAGGGGTCACCACCATCTCACCCTATCCCTAGCATCCTCCTTTGTCACACCTGTGTCCTTTGTGGCATGTCCTCCTTCACTACATCCATGAGCTCTCTCCGAGGTCTTTCTTTTTCTCCTGCCTGACAGCTTCATATTCAGCATAATTGTGCCCAGTATATCCACTATACCTCCTCTGCACATGTCCACGTCATCTCAGCCTCGCCTCTTGAACTGTGTCTCCAAACCTCAGCCTGAGCTGTCCCTCTGATGTACTCATTTCTAATCCTGTCGGCCCTGCCTTTTTCTTAGTGTCACCAAAGCACAGGCGCTACCACTGTTGACCGGCAATGACGCTGTTGCGCTTGGGGGCTGTGCCAAATCCTAAATCCACAAACAGAAAGAAGCACATCTGGGGGTTTGTTCAGCTGTTACTATAAAGAGCATTAAAATGACTCAGTCACTGCTATTTGATTGAAAGTTAAAGGCATACAAGCCTCGCTAATTTTCTCCCACGCTCTTCAACACAGTAACCACCAGACAGCAGGAGTGCGCCATCATAGAGTGAGAATACATAGATCTGACGTTCCTAATGTACGTTTTCCATCTTTCTTTTCTTTTCTTGTCTTTTCTTTCTTTTAAAACAAAAAACAAAAAAAAACTCGCACCCTGCCATTGTGCATCATTTAGTGTGTTCTCGTGGCAAACAGTGTACATCCGCGCGGAAGCCATGTTTGTAGTTGCAGCCTAATTGCCCAGTGTCCTTTCTGGTAGTCGCAGTTCTGGCAGACTCTGACTCACTCTGCACAGTAATCGTCCGCCAACATTGGCAGACAGCGGCTGCTCGTTTACGGAAGCGCTCTTGGTCGCTCGCGCTCTCTCATACCGTCCGGGACGTCTTCTGTAATTTGAAGGGCACGGGGCACGGACGTGCTGCTGCAGCCTGTGTCTTTAAACACAAGAAGGGGGAATGTGTTTCTGAGGCATGTAGCCTGCCTGGCTAAACCCACCAGCTCCTCCTCTCTCCTACCTCCCGCTGAGGAAGGAAGGAAGGCGAGAAAAGCGCTTGAGATGCCGATGGTTTCATCAGAGAGGCGACTGGAAATAAAAGTTGAGCGCGTTTCTTTTCCCCCAATTTTTTCTTTCTATAATTTCCTGTAAATTCCCATCTTCCATCGGCGCTCCGGACAGACAGACAGACTCTGCAGAACCCCAGCTCTTAAAAATTTTCGGCGCAGACGATCGCAAACAGGTAAAGGTGATAATTAATGAGACACGCATGCGTTATGTTCTCGATTGAAACCTATTAGGAGCATTTGCGGCGTTACAACGATATGCTTCTGTTACACAACTTTCAGCTTTTCTTAAAACAGAATACATATAGAGACGCTTGCGTTACCGAGACAGGAAGTGTTAATTGCTGTTACGCCTTAAGCGCAGCTGCAGAAAAATTCCAGAAACCTGACTTCGTTGCCTTGCCATGGATGTGTGCGTACACGTGCGCGCTACATCATTTGTTTATAATATGAAAGTATGACAAGACATTAA